ATTTTCTACGCGCGACGCCTCTGAAACGGGTTAAGTTCGACATTTTTGGGGAAGGAAAGACAGGAAATCGGACGCGGAAATGGAGAGAAGCTCCCGAGATTTTCAGAATAAAGAACGTACTGCCTTCCGGTTGCTTTACTTTTAAAAAATGTTACTAACTGTGCGTCCCCGTGAGAAGTTATCACCTAGCTAGCGGTCTCCTTTGTTTTTCAGGTCCGTATTGGCGATTATAAAACGGACAGAACATAAAACACAAACCTTGTTGTAGTTTTCTCCTGCTTGTTGTTGTGTTTACTGACGAAGTCACTCGTGAGACTTCGTGCTCGGTCGGTGACAGCTGCTCCCCTGCTGCTTCGCGTCTCGTGGGAAGGGCCACGCAGCAGCAAGACGTGCTGCTGCAGTAACGTGCTGCTGACGGCTCCCGTGGAAACCCGGGGTTAGACTACTGTAACTCTCTTTTCACGTGTCTGAGCAGAACCTCCCTGAACCGTCTACAGGTGGTTCAGAACGCCTGTGCTCGGCTTCTGACCAAGTCCTCCAAACACACCCACATCACCCCGCTTCTCCTCCAGCTTCACTGGCTGCCAGTCACCTGCAGAGTTCATTTCAAGATCCTGGTTCTGGTCTATAGACGAAGAAGAAAATATCATTTCTATAGCGCCTGTCAAGATAAAAATCATGAGGCGCTTCACAAAAACAAAAAATGTAAAAATATAAAAAATAATTTATAAAATGGTGAAAATATATTTAAAATGAGCAAAAAATAGACAATTGTGATTAAAAAATGTAAAGAAAGAGAGAGAGTGAACAGGAAAGAGGGAAATCAGTGGATTCTGAGGAAGGTGGAATAGGTGGGGAGAGCAGAATAAAGAGAGAGAGGTGAAGCTGGCTGCTGGTTGTGGCCCCCTGGGGCGATCCTCTGTGCTTCTTGAGGGGGGCGGGGGCTTTTCTGGTCACAGTCTCCTTGGGGTCTCTGTTTTCTGGGGCAGCTCCTGGATCTCTGGGACTTGGAGCTCCCTCCATCTCCTACACATCTTTAGGGGGCGGATCTGTGGTCCCTCACACACTCTGTTGGACGCTCCTATAGATAAACCTTACATAAACAAGCGCGTGTACACACACAGGTGCTCACATGGTGCTCTCATAAGTATGGGCTTGGGCACTGCACTGTGATTTATTATCGTGTGACTGTTCAGTTAAACAATGTTGATTTTACATTTCCTCATCAGGTTAACGCAGTGATAGCTTGCTCCTGTTGTACTGTTGTGTGTCCCTTTTCTGCAGGTCTAGACGCAGATTCTTGTTCATCATTAATTGTCTTCACCCCCCCCCCCCCCCCCTTCTCTTTCACCTCTGTCTCCGTGTCTGGTCGGAATTACAAAGCATTCAATAACAATAACAATAAAGTTTGAAGTATCAGGCGTGACATTAAAAGCAGACGCTTTGATGCTCCACCTGAGAGTAAATGTGTAAGGCTTGTCACCAGCATTCAGACATCAATTCTGTTTGCTTCACAGCCAGACAGGACACGGGGGGGGGGGGGGGGGGGGGGGGGGGGATAGCTGCAATGTGACTTGGATCTCAAACATGACGGATGAATCGTCTGTATGAGGATAAACATTGTGTACATACATGGTCACACATACAGGTGCTGGCCAGTAAATTAGAATATCATCAAAAGGTTGAAAATATTTCAGTAATTCCATTCAAAACGTGAAACTTGTACATTATATTCATGCAATGCACACAGACCAATGTATTTCCAATGTTCATTACATTTAAATTTGATATTTATAGGTGACAACCAATGAAAACATCAAATCTGGTATCTCAGAAAATTAGAATATTCTAAAGGCCAATGAAAAAATGTTTGTTTCTCTAATGTTGGCCAACTGAAAAGAATGAACATGAAAAGAATGTGCATGTATAGCACTCAATACTTAGTCGGGGCTCCTTTTGCCTCAATAACTGCAGTAATGCGGCGTGGCATGGACTCGATCAGTCTGTGGCACTGCTCAGGTGTTATGAGAGCCCAGGTTGCTCTGATAGTCGTCTTCAGCTCCTCTGCATTGTTGGGTCTAGCGTATTGCATCCTCCGCTTCACAATACCCCATAGATTTTCTATGGGGTTAAGGTCAGGCGAGTTTGCTGGCCAATCAAGGACAGGGATACCATGGTCCTTGAACCAGGTGCTGGTGGTTTTGGCACTGTGTGCAGGTGCCAAGTCCTGTTGAAAGGTGAAGTCTGCATCCCCATAAAGTTGGTCAGCAGCAGGAAGCATGAAGTGCTCTAAAACTTCCTGGTAGACGGCTGCATTGACCCTGGACCTCAGGAAACAGAGTGGGCCAACACCGGCAGATGACATGGCACCCCACACCATCACTGACGGTGGAAACTTTACACTGGACCTCATGCAACGTGGATTCTGTGCTTCTCCGCTCTTCCTCCAGACTCTGGGTCCTTGATTTCCAAAGGAAATGCAGAACTTGCTTTCATCAGAAAACATAACTTTGGACCACTCAGCATCAGTCCAGTCCTTTTTGTCCTTGGCCCAGGCGAGACGCTTCTTGCGCTGTTTCTTGTTCAAGAGTGGCTTGACACACGGAATGCGACACCTGAATCCCATGTCTTTCATGAGTCTCCTCGTGGTGGTTCTTGAAGCGCTGACTCCAGCTGCAGTCCACTCTTTGTGGATCTCCCCCACATTTTTGAATGGGTTTGTCGTCACAATTCTCTGCAGGGTGCGGTTATCCCTAGAGCTTGTACACTTTTTTCTACCACATTTTTTCCGTCCCTTCGCCTGTCTGTTAATGTGCTTGGACACAGAGCTCTGCGAACAGCCAGCTTCTTTAGCAATCACCTTTTGTGTCTTGCCCTCCTTGTGCAAGGTGTCAATGATTGTCTTTTGGACAGCTGTTAAGTCAGAAGTCTTCCCCATGATTGTGGTGCCTTCAAAACAAGACTGAGGGACCTTTTAAAGGCCTTTGCAGGTGTTTTGAGTAAATCAGCTGATTAGAGTGGCAGCAGGTGTCTTCTATATTCAGCCTTTTCAGAATATTCTAATTTTTTGAGATACCAAATTTGGAGTTTTCATTAGTTGTCACTTATGAATATCAAATTTAAATGTAATGAACATTGGAAATACATTGGTCTGTGTGCATTGCATGAATATAATGTACAAGTTTCACGTTTTGAATGGAATTACTGAAATATTTTCAACCTTTTGATGATATTCTAATTTACTGGCCAGCACCTGTATTATGAGATAAATGTATTTAAAAAGTCCAGCAGGACGGACGCATGCAGCACTATTATCAGTCCTTTCGAGGGCTCTCCAACAGGCTCTCAAGGGTGGACGGAGTGATGGGTCAGGACGCCACTGTCATCAACAGTGTTGGGTAATTTCTATATTACTCCCAAATTACCTCAAAAAAGTCAGAGCATACACAGAGGGATTAGATCTTTGGAAAGTGTAATCATCAAACAACAATCAATAAACGAACTTTGCAAAGGGTGAAAAACATACACACCAGAGCCAGAGGCGGTTTGTTCTCACACAGAAGCAAAGCTGCGGAGAGCTTTTATTAGGAACCACACCAAGTCAGAGATAACCACACCTACGCATCACAGAAGACAACAGAAATTCTTCAAAGAGGTCTTCACAGCAGGATGCTAGACACAGACCAAGGAGTCTCCCAGTCTAGCCTTGGTTTGGCTGCTGAAGCCGGGCGTACACTGTGTGACTTCCTCGCAGGGCAGATCTCACGAGTCGTGCTCACTTCACGACCCAGTTCTCGGATGCGACCTGACTGCTCACACTGCACGTCTGGTAGCAACACGTCGGCCCTAAAAATATGCTAAAAATAGCAGTTTTTACACAACATGTCAGACTTTTTTGTCTTGTTTGGCCTGTTGTCCTTCGGGAGAGCTGCAGGAGGACACACAGGGATTTATGGGGGTTGGATGAGGAAAACGACATAAAGAAAGTAAATCTGTGTTTTGTGATCAGTTTAATTTGACATGAACACGACAAACACGCTTTCTTGACAATCTTTGTGAGTAAAAAACGTGTAGAAACAAAAACGAACAGCGTGTGTTATTAGGGAAACAGCGAGCGAGCGGTGTTGATGCAGGATTGCGCATGCGCCGTGAGCGGTTCTGGTACTTTTTGGGTCGCAGCTGCTCGCAGCGCCGCTTCAACAGTGCGATACCCTCACGAGGGACGAGCGAAATATTAAACACGCCAGAAGTCCGTGCGAGCTCAAGACTACTGATCGGCAGCTGGTCACGTGGTGTTAATCGCCTCTCGTAACCCCCTGTACACGACCGCTCGGCGCAAAACTCGCCCCGATGTCGGGGATTCTCGCACGACTGGAAAATCGGCTCAAAAAAGTGAAAAAGTCGCACAGTGTACGCCCGGCTTAAGGGAACAGTTTGCATTCAGGCAGGAAGGCATTTCTACAACAGTTTAAATGTAAATCATGTGAAAAACTCTGTTTGACCATCAATTTTTACCTATCAGACAGCACCGCCATTGCGCCTTCAAAAACAGAGCTGAGGTTATCTAGTGACAGACTTGAAAAATATCTCGCTGGAAAACTAACGATATGTACGTTTTATTCACCTGTGACAGGAGGAGTGAGAAGATACGCAGCAAGCGTTATATTCATGGACAGAAATGATGGGAAACGTGAGTTTAGAGGTTAATGTCGCACATGAAGAGGTGAAGGAGGATGAGACAAATTGTTTGTGTTAAAAAGTCTAAATAACACAACAGTAAACACACTATCTTGGACCGGAAACATAACAGGACACCCCTGGACAGTGCTACGCCCTCTGGTGTCCTTGCGGGGAAGTGCCTTGCAGCACTCTCCAAGAGACTAAGAAGTCAGAGAGAAAAACATCTCTGTCAGTGCGTACATGCATCTCTCGTGGAGCTGATGGAGAAGTATAAATTAAGCTTAATGGGTCAGAACATCTGACTCTGCTTTGTGTTTCAGGGTGACGGTGGAGCAGCCTTTCGTGGATTTAAAGGATTCTCTGCGGCTCCGTCAGCGATACCAGCTCCCTTCTCGGGGTTTGGAAAGGCTGGAAGCTTCGAAGGATTCGGTCTGACCAACGGGGGCAGCAAGGCTCTGTACACTGGGGTCTCCAGTGCCACAGTAGGTGAGGACAACCCATCATTCTCCTAATGTCGCCTGTCTTCTGGAGGACTTAAGTCCACCAGATGTGTGATCAGGACCCTGACCGATACTCAGAAACAGATATTCAGAACCTCAGAGGTTGCCACATTGACTTGACTCATCAGGACCACCTCCCAAATCTTCTTTTAGGTCTGACCTTCAATGGGCCCTATGTCCCACCGACTGCTGACATCACCACCCGACAGACCAATGGCTCCTCCCCCAGCCCAACCCAGAGTAACAAGGAGTACCGGCGGCAACTGACAGCGCTGAACTGCTCTGTCCGTGACTGGATCACCAAACATGTGAACGACAACCCTCTGTGTGACCTGAACCCCATCTTCAGGGATTATGAACGCCATCTCAGCAGCATCGAGCAGCAACATGGAGGAGGAGAAGCTGCTGATGGAGGCTCGGAGACTCCTCCTCCTTCAGCAGCTCTGTTCTCTTTCAGTAGAACCACATCAGAGGACTTGGCCCAAAAAGTCTCTGGCACTGCTCCAGTGGCTTCTGGCATCACGTTCAATTTTGGCCAGAAGGTTGACAGCTCCGTTCTAGGATCTTTAAGGTCCAAATCAGCTGCCTCCAGCTTCTCTTTCTCCTCTTCAAGCCAGACCTCCCTTTTTGGAGCTCCTGGACCTGCTGCTCTGCCACCCTTCGGTGGGACCAAACCCGATGAGGCTGCAGGTTCTGTTTGATCTTTTATCCGTAGTCAAAAATTATTTCATTACATCAAAGTTAAACACAATTTAGGCCTTTAGGAATTCCTGCGTGAGATGTTGACCAGATCCTGACCCACTTCCTGCAGATGAAAATGGAGATGAGGAGTCGGAAGAGCCACCCAAACCAGAGGTGAAGGAAGTGAAGGAGGATGACGCATTTTACTCAAAGAAGTAGGTCCAATAATCAGCCTGATGCCTGAGGCGTGGAGCTGCTAATGAAACCTGTGTTCCGATGCTTTCAGGTGCAAACTGTTCTACAAGAAGGAGGCGGAGTTTAAGGAGAAAGGAGTTGGAACGCTGCACCTAAAAAACACCTCAGATGGAAAGATCCAGATGATCATTCGTGCGGACACCAACCTGGGTAAACCAGACTAACAAACAAGTGTTAAGATGTTGTAACTGAAGTCAAAAATCAAATTTTCTGTTTCTGTCAAAACTGGTGAAAACGGTTCAGTTTTCTTAGTCAGTCAAGCCTCTACCAGAGTCTTACTCCACCCACATTTTCAGTGTAAGAAACGGACCACAAGCAAGCGTCGCCTGGTAGGTGCAGTCAGTGACAGACTGCTAGACACTCATCTATACATTTATCAGCAAAAAATGTTCTCATTCACTTGTTCAATAAATTATCTTTAGTCTTGGGTATTAATGAATGCCTTGTGGACAAATTTCCCTAATCACTTGGAGCACAGAGTAGAACAAAATGCAGCTTAATCACATAGTAGTGGTAGCAGCTACCCTGTAAGATGTCTTTAAGTGACATATGTGGAACACAGTTCTCTGAGAGAAATTAGATTTTCTTAAATGATTTGACAGTATTCTTTAACAAAATGAAAATCTGAACATATTTTATGGATGGTGAAGTGTAGTTAAACTGAATTTCTGCAATTTTCATTCAGTCTGGTCAGTATCTGTAATAGTCGATTAGGTCATTGCAAAAAATTCAAATTTTTTTAGAGGGTTTTGAAGAATCTTTCCTGAGTTTTCCCCTTTCAGAAAAATGTATGATTCTTCAGAAATCCGTAAAAGTGATTGCCTTATCATGTACTGTGATCAGGGTATCCGCGGGTCCTTAAAAAGTCTTAAAAAGTCTTAAATTAGCTTTTTCAAATTTAAGGCCTTAAAAATCCTTAAAAATGACAAATAATCCTTAAATAGTTTCCAAAGGTCTTAAATTACCAAAGACCCAATAAACAAGATTCTTTTATTTCTATAAAATGTTCGTGAATTTCTAGTTAGTGTTCAGCATTTTTTGTGTCTGATATTGGGGTAAGCGGAGCCGTACACATGCAGTTGGTTGTGAAAGGGGGCTATTTTTAGATGAGCACATTAGCTGGTTAAGCTAGTGGGAGCTTGCACCATGGGGAAGTGCAAGTTTAATGGTAACTAGATGGCTAATCCCACATTCGCGACGTGGTTAGCACCGTTTCCAGGCAATAATTGGAAATTATAGCTTAAATTTAATTTTAAAAATAGCTTAAATTTGGTCAAAGTGGCCTTAAAAAGGTCTTAAAAAGTCTTAAATTTGGCTCCCTTAAACCTGCAGGTACCCTGGGTGATATAATGTATGCATTATGTCTTTTTTTTCCTTTTTGCTAAGCGCGCCCCTGCCCCACTAAGCTCCGTGCAATAGGAAACTGAGCGCCGACCAGAACTAACCAATAGCGTTAGACTACCGCTTACACGCTTCAGATGTAAGGAATGCCTCGGCTGATGCAGAGTTGATGAACTTTTCACGGACAAGCAAGTCTCTAAGATATAAATATATGAAAGCACAGCATGACATGAGAATAATACTCGTAAAATAACGCGTTTTAGCTCTGTTTGCCGGCTACAGAAGCACATTTATAAACCAGAAACGTAAAGTCATCGTCTTTAAAAAAAACTTAAGGAGAAACTATTTGTGTGATATGCTTGTCAGCCACTAGATGGTGCCATCAGATAAGAGAAATACTCCGGAAAGAGACTTAAGGTTATGAAAAGGTATCAACTCATTCACTGCCAGCCGTTTCCTGATCAGAAAAGTCCTTCGCTGCCAGCATTTTTCACCATTTTTTTACTGTTTTTTTTAAGAGTCACAAAACGTTGCGTGCTAGGATGATGTCAACGCCAAAACTAACAAAAACTAAGTGAAGACTCACCTCTTACATGAGGAAGAATCCATGTGTTTCGAGCATTATCTGTTCTTTCATAATCCGTTGTTGAATTGTGATGGGCAAAACCTCTTCCGGTTCGCACCTCACTTTTTTTACAGCAGCGACCCAAAACGATCTTCTAACACGTGGATTTTCTGCTTCCTGATCACGCGATGTTTGCGGATGAAGATCTGCTTTAGAGCTGGGACGTTTGTTCTCACAGTGCGGGGGCTCATTCCGATGCCCACACAGTTAAAAAATGCAAATGCAGAGAATTTTATTTTTAAATCCCTGCATATATTCTGTTATTCAGAGGAGTGGGCTACTATGGAGTTGACATGAATCGTGTAGATCTGAAGAGTTTTTGTTTTGAGGGGCGGGGGTGGGTCTTTTGTAGGTTTTCAGTCATTCTTTATGATAATCAATCAGAAAAAGGAGTGAGATTTCTCTGGTTCACAAATGTTCTTCGTTCTAGAGTATCAGTCACGTATCGTCATTTGACCAATCAAAGTCGCAGAGGCGGCACGCTGCAGAGCGCCACTCACACAGTGAGTATGAGTGTTGTCGCTCCAACATCTTGCAGCAATTTTGACCTTATGTTCGTCAAATTAAACAAAATTGCCACAAAATAAGTGTTGTGTCAAGGACGTTTGACAGATTTGCCTCCAAGGGATTAGGTTGCATGGATGGAGGTGATGTGCCCCCACTAATATCCAGCGATGACCAAATAGTCCCCACCAATAATTTGACCGCCTTCTCTAAAAAACAATAAGCCATTCCATGTCTTGTTACCGTACAGGTGCAGAAAGGGTTCATGACATTCTCTCCTGGAGTCCTACCTCCGTAACGCATATGGCCAGTGTGATTGGCTGTACATGCTGTCACGAGAGATTAACATGAGACAAACTACGTCGGCTATTGGGTTGTTGGCATTGCCAAAGTTCAAAGGAAAACGTTCCAGTCATATGCAAGACTCCCGTGTTTGCAATGCGACGTGAGACACATGGGGCCAAAAGCAAGTGAGTGTACCCGAGGGTCCTGAGAGGATGACGCTACGAGTATAAAAGCCTCACATGAAGAGAGGACGACGGCCATGAACTCAAGAGGCTCTTTTATAACACCACCGTCACTTCACTTTTCAGCAGTCAAGTTCCCCAACGACCAACCCACGCACTTCCGGTCATCTCAATAGAAGCGCTGTACACCACATTCTGGTTAATCACATCAACTGGTTAATGTTGCCTGTGCTTGGATTAGCTGCTGTCACCGGCCACTTTTAAAAACTTTTCTCTACTAACCTCCTCTCCGCCTTGCTTTTGTCCACAATTCTCTTCGGTAGTGTCCTGGCTACCATCTCCTATGATCGCCAGACTCTTTTGTCCTTCCGTTCGTCCACGATTGCCCAAGATGCACCGAGGACGTACCTCCCTGTTTATTTGCGTGAGCAATATGCTGGCCCAGAGCCAAACACTGATTCCTACCCCAATGCCTTCAGCGATGTTTATCCATTCTCGGCAAAACGTCTGCGAAAAAGGGGTATATGAGCAGGAATCCAGGTGAGAATAAGACCTCTCTTAAAGCATGGTTTATCTAGTAAACATCAGCGTGATCTTTTAGCTTTGTGTCTTTTGTTTGGCGATCAGAGCAGCACTACCGCATTCCCGCCAGGCTGCAATATGGCGCAGTTTCTCCGTCCAAGTTTTGTAAGGTCGGTTTATCTTCATTCCTCAGTGGTTTCTCCTCCTGTTCCCTCCATAAGTGGTTTTTATAAACACCGTGGATCTAACCCTGCTAATTTACGTCCACTAACTCCAGCTGTTTCTGTAGTTTCTGATTCCTCCACCTCACTCAGCATGGCTCTATTAAACACCCGCTCTGTTAACAATAAGACCTTCCTGCTCAATGATCTAATTCTGTCTAAAAACCTGGATTTTCTGTTTCTGACTGAAGTTTGGCAGCAAACATCTGATTATTCTGGTCTGATTGAACTCTGCCCGAGTGGTTATTCTTTTCTTAGCCAACCCCGGGGTTCTGGTCGTGGTGGAGGCCTAGCTGTTGTTTTCAGAGACCATCTTCCATGTAGCTCTACAACCTCTGGTCCCTTTGCTTCCTTTGAACTGCAGCTGATTAAAGTCGGGCGTAAGGACCCGTTCTACTGTGCTGGGGTCTATCGTCCACCTGGTCCAAACAGCTCTTTCCTTCAGGACTTTACTGACTTTCTATCCTCCACTGTGAAGCTGTCCAGACTGGTGATTGTTGGTGACTTTAACATCCACGTTGATGATCCCTCCGATCTCTTTGCCATGAATTTCTCCAGCCTTATGGACTCCTTCGGCTTTACCCAGCATGTTTCTGGCCCCACACACACCAGGAGACACACTCTAGACCTTGTTTTTACCCTGTGTAGCGGCGAGGATTAGCCACATATTTGTTAAGTGATCAATCAGATTGATATTCTATACAAATATGAAATATCAGTCTGATTGTTCTGTGCATATTTGACTAAATATTCCCTTAGATTCTTTGACTATTCAGGGAACACACACTTAATATTAATTCAGACAGAGTAAACAGGGTATCCGCGGAGTCTTGAAAAGTATTAAAAGGTGATGAATCAATTTTGGAAAAATTAAGACCCTTAAAAAGTATTAAAAAGTCTTATCACGGCTTTATAAAGTCTTAAATTTAGAGATTTTTTTTTTTTAATTAGATAGCCAACAGTTTGTTTTATTTATATTTTTTAACGAACCGAGGGAGCATAAAAAGATTTTAAAAAAATACTACGCTGTTGTGGTTGCGTTAGTAATTTTTCTCTTAGAGCACCAGGGCGGACAGGGTGGAAGATCAAAAGTGCAAAGAACGCTCTGGTGTTCCCGGTGCATATTAGGAACGCACCTAAATGTTAAGACGGAGGAGAATGTTGGTGAACATGAACGCACAACGAGAATGGGAAAGTGCAAGTTTGCAGCGTCCTGGCTGGATATCCCGGATTTCAAAGAATGGCTGCAGCCAGTCGAGGGGAACGTGAGGGAGGCATACTGTACGATATGCAAGAAGAAAATAAGTATCGTGTCAATGGGCTTAAACTCCTTAAAGTCGCGCATGTGTTGTGCTAGCCACTAGGGGTTGTATGAACTAGTCAACTAGTCAACTTCACTGCTCTGTAGTGACTTTTTATGCCTTTCATCGACTAGTCGCTGTCACGTGATGACGACAAAATGGAGTCTGTGGTAAACACAGCAGGTGACGAGCCGGGTGGGTCATTGTAGCAAACTAGCAGAAATGTTTCAGTTGTGTGGAAATACTTCACTAAAGATGAATCTTCTAGTTCTGTAACATGTAAAATCTGCAAGTCCGTTCTAAAATATAACAAAAGTACAAGTGCTATTCACATGCATTTGAAAAGGCATCCGCTAATACTAGCTGAGGAGGGACAACCCAAGTCGCCTGTTCAGCAGTCAATCAGCGCTTTCACCAAACGTCCCGCTGTAACAGAAAGACGACGGCAGCAAATCACCAATTTGTTGGTGAATTTTATTGTCAAAGACATCAGACCATTAGCTGCAGTCCACGGAGACGGCTTCAGAGACCTACAGAATTTTTTCGAGCCAGGTTACAACGTCCCATCCTACAACACACTGTGGAACGCCATTGCACACCAGTATGATAACCTGCGTGAAAATATTGGTGAAGAAATGAAAGGCCAGAGTGTTTCGCTAACAACTGATCTGTGGACATCTTCCACCATGGAGCCGTATATTACGGTAACTGCTCACTACGTTACCGATTCATGGCAGCTGAAGGCCCGGGTGCTCTGTACCGATGTGATGCCAGAGAGGCACACGGCTGTAAACATTGCTGACCGGCTGTCTAAAATAATCAGTGAATGGGGAATACAGGTGTTTTGCACAGTCCACGATAATGCCAGTAACATGAATCTAGCCATGGAGCTATGCGAGATGTTTCCACGTGATCTGGGCTGCACCGGACACACACTGCAGCTGGCAATTAAAGCTGGATTAGTTTTACCTGAGGTTACGAAAGCTGTCGACGCAGCAAGAAGAGTTGTCAGCCACTTTCGCCACTCTTCACTTGCATCTTGCGCTCTGAAGCAGCGTCAGGAACAGCTTGGCGTAAAATCCAACAAACTCCAGACTGACTGTCCTGTTTGGTGGAATTCCACTTTTGTCATGCTCCAGCGGCTGTTCGAGCAGAGGATCGCGGTCCAGTCCGTACTTGCAGATGAAGCGGTCACAAAGTCAAGCGTCCAGAAGTCACTTGCCATGAGAGCCTCCCAGTGGGAGCTTGTGGAACAGCTGATTCCTGTGCTGCAACCTCTGGCAAAGGCTACTGAAATAATGTGTGGCGAGTTGCACGTTGGGCTTTCTTTCATTCATCCTGTGATTTTCAACATGATCAGCAGCACTCTGTGTGTTGAAGAGTCTGACCTGGCAGCTGTACGCACTTTCAAAAACGGTCCGACAACAGCCGGAAACACACTTCAAACTGAGGATCTGACAGAATCTATCCCGATTGCTGCCTGCATGTTAGACCCTCGCTTCAAACATCTTCAGTTCATCCCGCAGAATAAAAGAGAGGCAGCCCAGACACACCTGGACGTCCTGCTACAGAACGGAGAGCCGCCTGCAGCAACAGGTAGGTCCACTGAACTATAATATGCTCATGTTATTCAGATGCATGCAGCATAGGTAATTTTAAACTTATCATTTTAGGTGAAGCTCAAGCCGAGGACACAACTGAAGCCCAAAGTGAGCCGATGACTGGGAAAAAGCCAGGCTCGAGGAAGACTGTGCAACTTTTTGGACCGCATTATCAAAGTGACAGGAGATCAACTCACTGCTCCACTGCAGCTGAAGAAACCCGGGATTATTTTTCTACACCACACATTCCCACCATGGACAATCCGCTCCAGTGGTGGTCCCGCAACCAGGCTAGATTTCCCCGTTTGCATAGCTAAGCAAAAGCTATTTGGCTGTTCCAGCTACCAGCACCCCGAGCGAGAGGATTTTTTCACTTGCCGGGAATACGATCTCCCGACAGCGAGCGAACCAGGATCAAAAACATATGACACAGACTGTCGGCGAGTAAACATAAGTTTTTTGTGGACTTTTTTAAGGAGTTTTTATTTTGCGCACTTAATTTTACATGTTACACAAGAGTTACATGGTTATTGTTACTGATTAGCAGCAATAAGCCTGCTTGTTCTCTTTAGGAATGTTTTTGAAGCTGATTGTTGTCAGCATTTGCAGTTGCAATAAGGGTTTTCAATAAAGCCTAAGTGTTCTAAAACTGTCCTGTCTACTGCATTTATGCTACACATTCTCACACCCAAGCATCAAAAATGTTGCGGTGTGACCAAGCGTTTGTTTCTGATACATAGGGAGCTCCTGCGCTCTCCGGTCACCAATCGCTGCTTCCGGTGTATGACGTCATCAACGACTAGTTGAGGGCGGCAGCTATCCATCGCTAGCTTCTGTGGAAATTGGGTTGAACCACCACAACATAGTCCCAACTTGTTCAAGCTGGCTTTTGTATGACCTTCACCACTCTCTTTATTCTGCTCTCCCCACCTATTCCACCTTCCTCATGGTCCACTGATTTCCCTCTTTCCTAGTCACTCTCTCTCTCTTAACATTTTTTTAATCACAATTGTCTATTTTTTCCACATTTTAAATATATTTTAACCATTTTCTAAATTCTTTTTTATATTTTTACATTTTTTGTTTTTCTGAAACACCTCGTGATTTTTATCTTGAGAGGCGCTGTAGAAATGATCTTTCTTCTTCTGTCAGAACCACAGTAGAAGGTCCAGCCTGAGTTAAGCTGTGGTAACTGGAGAGGAACAGAGAAACGGCATTAAAGCTTTTGTTGTTTGCTTGTTCAAGTTTAATTCAAATAGAATATATAAGACATCAATCATATAATACTTTTATTTATATTTAACAGTCATGTTAGAGATAAAATGCAGAATAGTTTATTTCAAAACCATTTTTACATTTTATCGTTGCATTGAAGCATCACGTCCCACCGTGAGTAGCCTCTGTCCCACTTTTGGTGAGTTGGGATCTGGTCATCCTACTGAAAAATTATTACAGTAATTTGGAATATTTTCAGATGTTTATATGTTTGGTGTTCTGTCAATTAGTTTCATAATAATTGTTAATTATTATAAGATGATCTCTAATCATTATCTGATCAATTCTGTCAGTTTATTATATTTAGCTCCCTTGAACAGTATGACTGGTAGAAAATAGCTAGCAATTTGCAAAATAAATCACATAGCTTTTTTTTATTATTCTCAATAAAATAAATGTATGTAAATGTAAAGAATAGAATCTGCAGCACACAGGGACCTTGTTTGGGGGGGGGGGGTAAATATAGTTGTCACTTTTTTCACAGCCTCTGAGTTTGCAGGAATGAAAAATAGATGCATGCAAACTAGTAAAATAATTTTTTGTTCTTCTATGCGCACGGCTTGCATTTTTGTACCATGTGGCTTTACGTATTATTGCTACAGCCTCGCTGTCCCGGATGAACGTAACCCGTTATGAAGTAGAAAACGAAGCAATGCAGTATGTAAAAACAATATATGTGTTTAACCGTTGAGTAGTTCTTTGCGATAAGTCTTAATTTTATTTTTATAAGGTCTTAAACAGTCTTGAAAAAGTCTTAAATTTAATTTTGAGATCTCTGCATATACCCTGATAAAAGTGAAATTAATTCTATTTTCCTAAACTAAATGATTTTACATGACAAAGTATGAATGAAATGATGGTTGTACAGGATGACAGATGAATGAAATGATTGAGTGGAAGTTAGGTGTTTTAGCAAAACCTTTGAGTATCTGATAACTTGAGGTCTGGGTTGTAAAGTCAGTTTGGCTGGATGGTTTGATAAGCTAGAGATTATTCATAAAACCATCCAGCGCTATTTGTGCCAGGTCTACGCACCCTTACGTGAAGATCAGGTCGAGATGGACACTGCTGATGGTGTGAACCTCTGGCACCGGAACTTGTAGCCAGCTCTGAGTACAACCCGTCTAGTATCAGAATCAGAATGAATTTTATTGCCAGCGCTCCAGCGATCCAGAGCATAGGAACTTGACTCCACAGTACAACCTGACCAAGATTACACACACACATGTAGACAGGACAGATACAGGCAGACCACGGGAGCAGCCATGACGGCGCTCCTTATAGTAGATGAAGAGGGGATTACATGAGGAGAGTTCAGGGGAGAGAGAAAAAGGCATTAACAGGGTTACACCGGCAGGGTGTAACACTCCAATGCAAAAAAAAAACCACCCAACATATAAGCACAAATGTCACAGTTCACAACATGAGACCCAGTAGGTAGGGGGGAGGGGCTGGGACCCTGCTTTCCTCAGCGGGGGCTGCCTGTGTGGCGCTCAACCAGCTGAATCCACAGGTGGGAGGGAGGTCACGGGGAAGCACAGAGAGCAGTGAGTGCCTTCATCTTGATGACCTCGATGCAGAGACCACAATCTGAAGGTGGGGGGTAGGTAGGGTTTCACAGCATTTGTCTGCATTCCTTCCATCGTGGGGGTTGTTTTGCATGCAACTCAAGGCTGCTTATGGCATCAGATTCGATAACAGAACTTTGTTTGGGTCAGACAGAGATAATTTTTCCTCTCTGCCTTAAGTCTGTATTGATCATTCAAGTCCTCCAGTGAAGCCAATTCGGTGATTAAACATCTCCACACCGTCCGGTGACCCTCTCCGAGATGTTATCAATCCTGCGCGCTAACACCGGTAACGCAGCTAAGACATTGTCCAGCTTACGATTCACCTCGAGTAACGTCCCAGTCTGTGAGGTATCCACCCGGACGGTGCCGTCCATGGATGCGGGTCGCCCTCCAATCGCTCCCGTCATCCCAATTTTCCGGAAAACCAGATATCCTCCCACTCCAATCAGAAGAAATCCAGTGATCATCAGGCCAAATATCCACACATCTTCGACGTCCTCAATGGACAGCTGAGAGAGACAGATGATATTCCACTTCTTCCAGGAATCGAACATATATCCCGCTGCATGTGTCCCGTGAGGACAAACGCGAGCCCCCTCCTCCGTTCTCATCGTAGAAAAAATCGTATCAATCGCGTTGAATGACCAATTAATTAAGTCCATGCTGAAAAATAGTGAATGCCAGAGGAAATGCAGAGAAGCGCTCTGTAGGCAGACGGACAAAAGAGCCTTGGGAAAAACACAGATAAGTGTGGCTCTCTTCAGGTGACAACAAGAAGCTGATCCAATTTTGCACCTGAGGCTGTAATGTCTCACAAGCGTTGCTGAGAGATGTTTTGACCTGAGGTCAAAAGTGGATGGTCTCAAATGCTTGCTCACCCGAATAGCCTTACCAAAAGAACGGCAAAGACTGAAGAATCAGGCAGTGATTTCTGTATTAATTAAATGTTTACAAATTCTAAACAAATCAGAATTTGACAAGTTAACAGGGTGCTATCAAAGTCCTCAGAAAGTCACTCCACTCAGATACTCAGTGAGGTTAACTCTTAATGTGAAGTAAAAATGTTATACATGAATAATAATCTTATTATTGTGTTCATACCTGGAATAAATTACTATAATCAACAATTATTGAATCATGATTATTGAATTATTGATTGATTCAGTTTAAGATCTGAAATGGAACATTACAGGAAAAATATTCATTTTCACACATTCCATTGTTGGTTCTTTTTTAAACACAGATAAGGTTTCCCTTTACCTTGCTGACGGTTTCGTTTGCGGCTGCAACCATCTCCAGAGCTGACATTGATGGTGGTGTCACTTCCTACTCCGTTTATCTCCGTCAGCTCTGGAGATGTTTGCAGCTGCAAACGAAACCGTCAGTAAGGTAAAGAGAAACCTTATCTGTGTTTAAAAAACAAACAAAAATGAAATTAGAAGACAAACACAGCAAGAACGTACAAAATTTTTCACACATTATTCATACACTTTGGATTTAAGCCATTTGTTCATTGATTGTATGATTATATGGAGTTTTAACATAAAGTTTTAAAAAGTCATTTATGTCAACCAGGGAAGATGAACTTCATTCAGAGTGAAGTCTCATCTGCGTGGGCCTTGAGTTCCAGCAAAGATAAGGGAGCTAGGAAAAGACAACGATCTTTTATATACCGCCTCTCAAGATGAAAGTCATGAGGCGCTTCACATAAACAAAAAAATAATAGTAATAAATATTAAAATATTTTAAAAATGAATGAAAATATGTTAACAAGGAGGAAAGAACAAAGAGTAAAAATGTAAGGAAAGGGAGAGAGAAAATTATTTGAAAAGAATGAAATGGATCTGTTCTATCTTTTAGTTCTTTTTAAAACACATAAAAGGTTTATTTACCTGCAACGTTTTGTTTGCAGCTGCAAACATCAGGCTGACACCGATGGTGGCGTCACTCCCTTCGTTTATCAGCGGTGGCAGGGGATGTTGTCGCCCTCTGCTGCCCACTCTGCCCTCTCCAATGATGCAATCCCATGCGCGATTCAACGAGTAAACTCCATCGTCTCTGTTCATAGTCCCACATCTACGTCTCATCTCGATAGCTTCCTTTATCCATCGTTTGAATTTCTGTTGTTCGGTGTTTATTATCCTTGTGTTGTCCCAGTTGTTGCGTTGGTTTTCTCTTGTGCAGTGATCTGTTACGACTGACTTTTTTATAGAGCTCCGGACCCCACGTGACTCTCAGTTAGTAGACGCCATATTGGCAGGAAAAAAAGGTAAACAAACACAGATCGTAAACATGAACATGAACGGGATCGGCTTGGATTTTACTTTGTCAGAGTTTACTTCACACTTTAAAACCGAAGAAATCGTTTTATATAGTCAGAAACTAAATAGACTAAACATCTCCGACCCTTACCGTGCCCCTGGGATACTTTTTAAAAACGCCAGAAGCTGTCGGAGCGGACTTCTTACCGGACCTGGCCGGGGAACCCCTTGGGATTCCCCCGGAGGAGCTGGCTCCGGCGGCTGGGGAGAGGGAAGTCTGGGCCTCTCGACTTAGGCTACTGCCCCCGCACCCCGACTCCGGATAAGCGGATGAACATGGATGGATGGACAAATAACAGATTTACATGTAAGAAGTTTAAATAGAGTGCTGTGCTGTTTGAATGTATAAACTGAACGCCAAGAGAAATCACTAGTTTGATTTTTTTCCGTGAATAAAATAAAAATGTCAGGCAGGAGCGTCTCAGGATCTGTCTGAGATCTGTCTCGGTGAGACAGATAATAGCAATCCAAAGTGCTTTTCATGTGTGATCTGACAATTGATCAACCATTGGTTAAAAATTAAATACAGCTTAGCCGGTTAATTGCTGTGATCATAAAACACGTAAACGGCAGCACGCAGAACTCACGAGGCAACGTTTTACGTGATGTTTACTTGTTGCTATGAGTAATAAGACAGAAAAAGCCCCGCCAAAATAAGTTTAGGAAGCCCTCTAAGAATTGTAATAAAAGCATTTAAAATAAATACCATACACAGTTGGGGAAACGTTGGTTTAAGTACCTGATATGAAGCGGTCGCTGCATAAGCGAAAACCTTTACTCTCGGGATCCCACAGTTTCATTTTAGCCCGGTCACTAGCGCGTTTTATTACAATGATCCAACGTTTGCGGCGCTCCGGATCTTGGGGAATCCTGTAGATGGCTCATTCCTGATGTCGTCCGCGTCTGTTCTGCATCCTGGGGCACAACAGGAATCTACCATATTTCCCGTTTGATTGAGTTTTCTGACAATAACAAATAGTCCAGCTGCGGGCTTCTGCCTGCCAATATGGCGCCGTTTTGATTTGAACTGTTGCATGCCGGGAGAAGTGACGTCAACTCCCGCAGCTCTATTGTGCTTTCTGCTTCTTGTTTTGCTGCTCTTGTGTGTTTTCGACTTGCCTCTTTCTCGCACTCCTTTCTATGTTCTATTGTTCGTGTGTTGAGTTGGCGTCCGGTTTCTCCTATGTATGTTTTATTGCAGAGTTTGCATGGCATTTCATAAACGACTCCACATTTAAACAAGAGGACAAACACATACAACATGCTTTAAAGACCTGCGCATACCCGACATGGGCAATAAACAAAGGAAAACAACAAACAACAACAGAAAGAAGAAAACAACCAAAGCAAAGAACCAGAAACCCAGAAAGACAAGAACCAGAACCAGTGATAACCCTACCATACATTAGAGGCATAACAGAAAAAATAAGAGCAACAATGAAAAAACAACAAAAACACACCAACAAAGCCATACACAACATTTAGAAACAGACTAGTGCACCCAAAAGACAAAATATCAGCTGGGCTTAAATGTGGAGTCGTTTATGAAATCCCATGCAAACTCTGCAATAAAACATACATAGGAGAACCCGGACGCCAACTCAACACACGAACAATAGAACATAGAAAGGAGTGCGAGAAAGAAACAAGTCAAAGACACACAAGAGCAGCAAAACAAGAAGCAGGGTTAGGTTAAAAATTGTTTTTCAAAGTCTTGTTTTATCTCATTTACAGTAATGTATGTTAGTTTTGTTCAGTGCGGCACAGAAAAATCAAAGAAAACTGCAAATGGCTCAAAACAGAGCAGCCAGAGTAGTTTTTAACTGTCCTCTTCTGTTTTGAACTGTCCTCTTCTGACCTTTGTGCACAAAATGCATCTCAAATTGTCTTGGTTAACTGTGGAGCCAAAAGATGTTAAGTTACTCCTCTGCCTCCTTTAGTGATAATGGTACGTGTAATAAATGTAGCATTTTTGTAGCTTTGGAGGCGAGGGTGTCAGAATTGGAGGCCTGGCTCCGCGCTGTTGAAAAGCCCGTAAACAGCCATAGCTACTTAGCTAGCATGGGGCTAGCTAGCTCAGAAACACCCCGTAGCGGTCCTCCAGTAGAACCCGAGCAGCCGGGACCTCAGACCAGCTGGGTGACAGTACGCAGGAAGCATAGAACCCAGCCCGTGGGCCACCACCAACCCGTCCACGTTTCTAATAGATTTTCCCCGCTCAGTGACGCACCCACTGACAAGCCGACTCTGATCATTGGCAGCTCCATAGTCAGAAACGTGGCATTAGAGGCTCCAGCAACCATAGTTAAATGTTTACCTGGGGCCAGAGCGGGCGACATTAAATCTTATCTGAAACTGCTGGCTAAGGATAAGCGTAAATACAGTAAGATTGTTATTCACGCTGGCGGTAACGACACCCGGTTACGCCAATCGGAGGTCACTAAAATTAATGTTGCTTCGGTGTGTAAGTTTGCCAAAACAATGTCGGACTCCGTAATTTTCTCTGGCCCCCTGCCTGATCGGACCAGTGACGACATGTTTAGCCGCATGCTGTCCTTCAACCGCTGGCTGTCTAGGTGGTGTCCTGAAAACAACGTGGGCTACATTGATAATTGGAAAACTTTTTGGGGAAAACCTGGTCTGATGCGGAGAGACGGCATCCATCCCTCTTTGGATGGAGCAGCTCTTCTTTCTAGGAACATGGCCAGTTTTATTAGTCCTCCATGACAACCCAGGGTCCAGACCAGGAAGCAGAGTCGTAGTTTAACCCACCCCTCTGCAGCTTCTGTACTGTTACCCACCCACTACCCCATAGAGACGGTGTCCTGCCCACGGCCAAAACCACACAGATTAAATATCAGGCTTAATAAAGCAAATCATGGAAATCTCATAAATATTAGAACAAATTCAACTGAGCAGAAAACTAGAAAAATTAAATGTGGGTTGTTGAACATTAGATCCATTTTTTCTAAGACTTTGTTAGTTAATGACTTGATTTGTGATAATCAGATCTCTTTGCTCTCTCTCACAGAATCCTGGCTGCAGCAAGAGGACTATGTTAGCTTAAACCAGTCGACTCCTTCTAATTATTTAAATCATCACATTGCTCGAAGTACAGGGCGAGGAGGAGGAGTAGCAACCATTTTTGATTCAGACCTACTAATCAATCCCATACCCATTTATACTAAGAATAAATTTTTTAAAAGCGCCTTTTATGGAACTTAAGGTCACTGTACAAGAATAATAAGTCAAGCTAAAAGTTTAAAATCAGCAACAAATCTGTATCCACCAAATCCACCAAAGTGAAGTATCGGTGAGCATGGTGGATGGATGAGCGCAGTGGAGAAAATACTGTCAGAATATACATCTTTGGATTAAACGTGTTCAGAGAGACTGATAGTCTGTGATGCTTCTCAGTCTTTTTTTTTCTGTGTCACGTTGCGGAGTCCGATATGAAACGAAGCAGAAAGTCAAAGTCACATAAAACATGTTGATCAAAAGCAGCTTTCACAGTAATTAGACACAAGCTAAACTCATTTTAAAGCACAAAGACATAATGAGAAGATTCATTTGAAGCCTTTTATTACTTATTCTCAGAATGTTGAGGAAATTTAATTGAGGAACTCTGTTATTGGAATAGATCTGAATTTTTTCAAAGATTTAAGTGATGTTTTTTCTCTCCCCTAAATATCTACAGCTGTGTCTGGCACAAGGACCTGGTCCAGAGTCTGAGCAGAACCCAGAGCCTCTGAGCTTCTCTGGTTGGTTGTGGCAGTTTGTAACGTTTGGTTCCTCTTTTCTCTGTTAGGAAACATTCTGCTGAACATCATTGTGCAACACTCCATGCCGTGTTCTCGGGTCGGGAAGAACAATGTGATGGTGGTTTGTGTTCCAAACCCACCCGTCCATGACAAAAACCCCAGTGGTCCAGTTCCCCTCCTGATCCGGGTCAAAACTGATGAAGATGCCGATGAGCTCCACAAACTTCTGGAAGAGAGAAAAGGATGAGCACCCCACCCTCTGAACCAGAACCCCCTGCAGCTTTTACCTGCTTTAGTCTGGACTATGGTGGTTCTGAACTGTCCTGTCATCAGTGAAATGTTCCTTCTTTTATTCTGAAGGTGTGCTTCTGACTACATTCCTCCCCTCCCACTCTGGTATCATCTCTGCCAACCTACTTTTACCTGTTTGATCTGGAGCATGAATCCACTGGATCTGGTTTTGGGGAGACCTCCAAACTGGGTCAGACCATTTGCTTTCATAACAGTTATTATTATTTTTTTAAGAGCCTTTTATTCAGGAAACTATTTATTGTTGGCAGATTTTTGTTAACACCTGGCCCAACAGAACTTTGTTGTCCTGTAAACATGGACTCTGTACCTGTCCAAGTGTCCTTCATCTCTTCTCCAGGAGGAGAGGCTCTGTTTCAACATTGATAAATAAAAGGAACCAAACACTTTGTTTCAGCTCTTCTGATCCAGTAATGGCATTTTCACATCCGGCCCAGCCCAGTTCGGTCTTGGTTCAACCAGGTTTTGTTCACACGGTCATCTCAAAACAAAGATGTTTTCAAGCATGTGGATGGGGTAAAAGAGACAAAGAGAAGTCTTTGGTGTCTTCCTTAAAGCCATTAAGGTGAATCTACAGAACACGTTAGGTTTTGAACACAAACACAGTCAAGGAACACTCACCCCTCCCCTCTGGTATCTTCCCTGAGGCGCTTCTGCCGAAACCAGAAACCTGCGATGCCAGAGGAAACAAGATAGTGCTAAACAGCAGTTGCCGAAAACCACTTAAATTTTTTTGGGATATTTTTTCAATTACCACAATATATTTATAACTACTACGTTAGAATGTTCTTTAGAGGCATGAAACATTTACATTTGTTTTCCAAACAAGGGTGGCTTTGAGCAATGTTGCTTTTGGAGACTCAGACATGAAACACACAGCTTCCTACGCTCTCGCTGCTGTGGGCTTCTCTCACAGCATTCAGTCTCAGGCCCAGCCCAAACACAATCGGAGCCCTAGGCAAGATTATAGGTGGCGCCCCCTTACGCTGCAGTAAATCCTCTGCGACTGTACATACTCACAAGAAACCACATAGCTTTGTCTCAGACGTTCTTTTTATTTAAAAAAGCCATTTGCACATTCAGAATACGTAGAAATATAAACATTTTGAACTGAATACATAAAAGAATATGAACTAAACTAAAAGCATTAGATTTAAATATTAAGAAAATTAAAAGTGAAAAATTATAAAACCATAAAAATAAGGAACAACACAAAATAAAGCATTAAAGAAACCAGTATCCAGAAAGAATTACAAAACAAAACAAGTTAGGATTTCAATAAAAATTCACCCAAAAGATGATTAACAATGTCCTCTAGTGGTGTTTTTGGGTACTGCGTTATCAATGACACTACACCACACATGTCCTGAACCTAACTTCACCTGCTACAGATTTACTCTGCTGGGTTTCTTTGCAGCAAAGTCACCAATAACATCCTCAAATGACAACTGATTTGAGACCACATGGTTTATGCTTATGATGGCAAGTCCGCTGAGACGTTCTTGCATCATAGTAGATCTCAAATAAGTTTTAATCATCTTGAGCTTAGAGAAGCTTCTTTCAGCTGCAGCCACTGTAACAGGACGGGTGGCAGAGATTCTCAAAGCAACCCACAAGTTTGGGTAATTTTCTGCCAGTTTTTTCTCATGCACGAAGGACAAGAGTTCCATACTTGTCATATTCTTTGATGGCAATGGTGGGAAATTCTGCATTTCCTTTGCGAGTTCTGTGCCATCAATGTCTGGCTGACTGTCATGGGTCAGAGCAGTACTTAAAGCTTGGCACTGCTGTAGCAAGTCTTCCTCTCCTAAATAGGGGAAATTGAGGAGCACACCAAAGGTCTTATTCACTCCTCCAAGATTCTGAAATCTTTCATCTAGAGAAGCAACGGCAGTATCCACGACCACATTAAAACATGTGGTTTCCATTTTGTGCAGTGCATCTTGTATGGGCTCATCTGGAGACTCATAGCCAAAGTGCCTTTTTGTGGTTCTCAACCGCTTTTGTTTCAGTTCAGCCTCCACGTTCATCTCCTCACACGTCTTTTGCAGTTGTCTGTGCATCACAAAATCCAGTGTTTCTGTAGCTGGTGAGGGAATCTGGTTTTCTTCAGCAAGTCTACGGCCACATCAAGCTGCATGGAGGGTGACTGCATCAGTTTACTGACATACTGGATCTTGCTCAGAATGTCATACCATATGTCAGTACAAATGCAAAAGCGATAGGATCCAATCTCCTCAGCCAAAGACTGGGCTTCAACTCTTACCACAGGGTCTGCGGTTGTTTCCCTCAACTCTAGTAGAGCCTCTCTGATTGGCCCAGTCTGATACCTTACTGCCTCCATGCTTTTTATTCTGCTTTCCCACCTGGTCTCAGCCCATGATTTCAAAGTGATTTTGACATATTTTAGGAGGACATCCCACCTATGGGTGGAGGCTGAGAAGAGCTTGAATAACTTGATTAGATGCCCATAGTAGCTGAGAGCATCTGGTGAGCTTCTTGCAGCATCCGCTACAACCAGATTTAAAGTGTGGGCACCACATGGGACAAAAAAGCTCTTGAGTTCAGCTGAAGCAACTTTGCCTGAACACCTTTGTTTTTCCCCTTCATGTTGGCGCCATTGTCATAAGACTGGCCTCTGCAGTCCTCAAATGGGATATTAAGTTCTTCTAACCTTTTTAGGGTAAGAGATGTCAAATGTTCTCCTGTTGACTGCTCTGCAACAAGAAATCCCAAGAAACGCTCTTTAACTTGAGGAATGTCTTCTGGTGACGCTAACCTGACTATGACCGAGAGCTGCTCCTTATGGCTCAGATCGGGGGTGCAGTCTAAAATAATGGAAAAGTATTTGGAGGTTTTAATGTCTTTCACAATGTGTTTGTAACCCAGAAGCTAGAACCTTAATGAGGTATTAACTAATTGGCTTACTAATATGATCCATCCTCAATTTAGATAAAATATAAAATATAAATTAAGGAAATTAACAATACTAATTAATAGATATCTAATTAACTAATAGATAATTTCATAATGAATTATTGGAAGGGTGAATAACTAAAATAACGAGTTTAATATTAAACATCGGTTAAAACAAGAATCTTGAACATCACTAACAGAAACAGAAGAGGAAAGCTGTATACTATTGGTCCAGGTGGGAATCTGAAATTTCATTGGCTGAGAGAAATAAGTCCCGCCTCCGCGAAATAAAACCGTGCGACGCAGCTGAGCGAGAGGAGAGACAAACGGCTGTGCAGCACGCAGATACAGAAAGCAAAGACTGAGCGGTTAGAGAGAGAGAGAGAGAGAGAAAAAAAAACAACGGTCGAGGCCGTGAAGAACCCCGATTTGGGTGCCGCATAGATAGAGGGAGAGGCGGACTTGACTCCTTCTAATAAGAGCTAGGAACTTGGAACCAACGCGGTGAGTAAAGAAAAAAGAAGAGAAAAAGCTAACGATGCAACTTAAAAAAAAAAAAGGAAACTTAAATAGCTTATCAAATTAATTCCATTCTTATAGATTTGTGTGGAGACGACAGAGTGAACCAATCCTCTGTAGGAGGGAACCGTTGGAGCGCGTTGGTGAGTGAATGAGATTAAATTCAGTAAATTATTAAATTCAAAAAGCTAATTACAGCAACCGAGGTGACAGCAGTGGGCTGCTAGACGTTAGATCCCAGGAGTTAACATCTCAAACTACCAGTTAACGGTGGTAGGGCATATAGGAGTTAACGGCTCAAACCACCAGTTAACGGCGGTAGGGCATATGGGATTCCCAGGAGTTAACGGCTCAAACCGCCAGTAAACGGCGGTACGGCCTAGATGTACAAGGTCCTCAGGGGCGTTATAGCTAACGCCATAGAATTAGCAATGCGTCCCTTAACCAAACATTTAATAATAAAAAAAAATAGATAAATAAAAATAAATAAAAGCTAACTGATTAGGGAGGAATTATTTTACAAAGGTGGACCAAAGGACCAGAATTTATATTTTGTTTAATTTTGTTATAGAAAATTTTATTTATTTATTTATTTATTTATTTATTGTGTTACAGATATACAAGGTGTCACAATGCTGTATAGAAACACAACTAAATGTATCCTTGTTGTCATGAATGTATTTCTTGTTGAATAGTGTAGAGTAATAGAATCTAACTGAGCCTATTGAGCTGAACAATTGTTGTCATATGTAATTATATTTCCAGAGCTACTGAGAATTATTTTAATAGACAATCAAATTGATGTTATGTTAGTTGAACTGTGAACCCAAACATGATTGGCTATGCCAATAGAGTGAAGCATTTGTTTAAGTCTGTAAGACTTTATGCTGTGATGTGACGAGAAGGGTCGATGCCAACTTGCTAACAGTCCTGTTGTTTACAGGCTGGGTTTTTTTTTTCCTTGGGTTTGATCCCGACTCCTACGATCACTCACTTGGAACGAGAACTGGATTTCTTCCTGACGAGGGAGATGGCGAGCCTTAACCACTGAACGAACCAGGACATCTCAAGTAACTGAAGAGCAGACTGCTCTCTTCTGTGAACAATCTCAACGGTGTGGTAGGAAAAAATCGCACCACCGGACTCTGACTTTCACCCCAAGCGTGGGGATTTGACTTGACGCCGGCTGACTTGTGACTCATATGATCAAATCTCATACCGACCATTTTACTATTGTCGATTGTTTTCATCTGTTTTTGTGTGTTATCTTTATGTGTTATATTTCCCATTATTATTAAAATTTAGTATATAAACCGTTTCATGCTATACCCGTGACTCCAGTCATTCTTAAACAACCTCCAATTCTCCCCGAACCTAATTATTGGCCCATTTGTTTATTTTTTCTTTTAATTATCTTATTGTATCCTGTAATCCGGTTACATAAAACTTGGCGAGCCAGCCAGGAGAATTGTAGAGTTGTTACCTTAGCTAACCATTGACTGACATCATAAGAGTGCCTGGAGGTCACAGTGGTTTGCCATTTTGGCATTATTGGTACTTTTGAGTGTTTTAAAATGGAAGTTGTAAAAACAGAAAAGGTCAAGGTTTCAAATGCTGTTTTAATCAGTGGGTTAACTGATACAGACCTTGATAACGAAGTCTTTGGGTTTATGGAAGGATTCGGACCAGTTAACAGGCGCATTAAGTTACCAAACTGTGATCAGATTATTGTGGAGTTTCAACATGAAGCCACTGTTAAGGAATTAAAGAAACAATGTTTACCCTATGACAAACCTTGTACTAGGAACCCAGATGTTTTCTTCCATATTCAAGACCTAGCCAGCGCGTACAGTCTAGAAACTAGCACATCTGCCACTGATGCCTATCTGTCAGAGCTCAGGGACATAGCTGCGCGTAGCAATCAATCATTTAAAGACCTTCTAATGGAGGA